CGGCCCACACTTTAATTAGATGCTTAAAGCCCAATTACTTAATTCCTTATTAGATCACTTTAATTTTGGGCTTAACTTTAAGATAGCGTTTATACACAATTAATTACATATGTCGGCCCATCACGGGAAATTAAATAATTTCCCAACACAGAATGCCAAATCTACAAGATGAAACTGGCAACTGGTATTATGAGACGCAAATTCCATGCACATTGCTATCTTTCAATTAAACATCAGAAATAACTTCATGACCAAAACAATCATTGAAGTACATTCGTAACTAATTCTCTCTTTTAAGCTTCTAGATTGTGCTCAGACCTTCCAGAATGACAGGAAGAGTTGCCTCCTGTACCACAGTCATCTTTTCATATCCAGCATCTTTAAGTCCTTTCATCGACAATGGAGAGATGGAACATTGAACAAACCTGTAAAGCATACACATATTATTATTTAAGAAATAAATGGAAATGGAAGAAGACATAAAAGCCATAAAAACTAAATAAATAAAGATATATTTAACTACGCAAAGCTTAATGACCAAGCTCGGATGCAAAATTTATTTACTGGCTGTTCTATTAAAGGTCAATGATGAATTTAGCGAATCATTGAATAGAATGCTAGATTGGCATCTCTTCAGCCACATACTTTATGTCATTTCTATTGTCATTACAATGATTTTAAACTAAATCAAGTAACCTTCCCTTACGGAGGTTGTAGATTTTTTATGCACACTACCGGAATCCACTCTTACCAATGGTTGATTATTTGATCATATAATCAGTAAAACGTATTATGCACTATGGACTATCAAAAGTCATAAAATTCTCCTCCTTTCTCGTTTGACACAAACAAAGAGAGAAAATTAATTGATTGAGTAGGTGCAAATGTATTACCTGCTTTCACTAAGATAGGCATCACTTCTCCAAAGCGAGCTTGAGGGTGATTGAGACAAAACTTTTTCCTTCTCAAACACGTCATCAGCAATATTGTCTTCCTCCTCGCTCTCATCTTCATCCTCATCGTCAACTTCATCACTATCAGTCAACTCTTTAAAATTGTTATAGTCCTCCTCATCTCCTTCTTCCTCTTCGTCCTTTATAACCACCAAAGCTCTTTGTGATACTCTCGTCCATTCTCTCTTCACTCCAACACCACCACCTCCATCCTTCCCATAACCCATTTCAGACCCTCTCGCAGCTCTCCTTATCTCTTCTCTATCCTTCCCATTAGCCGATTCAGTCCCTCTTGCACCTCTCATCATCTTTCCCTACTTTCATTCCCCATTCCTAATTGTCGCCAGAAATCCTCTCAACCGAAACAACCCTTTCCCCGGCTAATGACACCACCATTCCTCTCATTCTCTCTCCAATTCACTCCCAAAATTCCCTTTCCTCGAGGACTCGCCTGAATAGCGGGTCCCACCTTACCTATCAAATGACCTACCACCATTAAACCTACTAAGATTCTCCTTCAATCCACCACCATATCCCCCTCTTCCTCTATGAACCGGCGGTTGGAAAAACTGGATAAACTAAGT